ATAAATCTAACGATTTCTCCAAATAATTCTTTTTTTAAACAAGCGTTTTTGACAAATTTACAATGAGAGGAGGCTATTTTACTAATTGTAATAAATAATATGCTGATATGCACTGTACATACACGGTACATACAAGTCCAACTTAATTTATTCAATACTGTCATCCATGTTCTTTGCTGAATACTTACTAACCATTCACCTACTGCTGGCTTTTCTTTACCATGTGTAGTCTATCTATCTATATTTAGCTACTAATACTTGTATGGCTAAACAGAGCCTTTAATCTCAAAGCATTTCCCTCCAATGAAAGTCTTTCTTATTTCCTGAAAATGGCTTTCTCTCTTCTTTTCTTTTTTTTTTTGGTGTGTGTGTGTGTGTGTGTGTGTGTGTGTGTGTGTGTGTGTGTGTGTGTGTTTGGAAAAAAAGCTAACACTTTGTAAAAGATCATTAATAATTAACTAATAAAGTCCAACCTGAAGTATGACCTTGTTCAGGAACCCTGCCTATTATAGCCTTGTGATCAGAATTAGTTTGTATACTGTATTTTCAAAACACAAAGTTTATGGGCTATTTTCATTAAATAAAGGTTTCTTAAAAGCAACTAAAACAATATAAATAAGGTTCCAACATACCTCCCGCAAAACTTCACCTCATCCTACCACTAATCTCACTGGGCTACACTGTGCTCCCTGGAGACAAGTGATAAAGCCATTTTCAGAGAACTTCTCCAGAGATATTTCTGGGTACACAAATTATACATATGTAAGTAAATGTGTATGTGTGTGTTTGTAATATATATCTACTCCAAGACAAATGGAAATAATATTTTTTTTAAAAAAATGAGAAATATGTACCAGTAAGTATAAAAGTATATTTAAAGGAATATTTTAGCTGCTGTGTAATGTTTATAGTATTCTGTAGCGGCAGACATATTCTTTGTAACAGATTCTAATACCCTCTTGTATAGAAGGAAAAGACCTGGCTTTGATAGCCTTCCTCTTGATGATGGATTCTATTTTCAACCTTGTAGAGATGGTATGATGAATAAAGCATTTGTAAGTAGAAGATTGTGCATTTGTAGTTTGTGCCTGTTTCCCATGGACTGTGCTCTTCCTTCATGGAAAGCAGGCTGGGGCCCATCCCTTTACATTTCACTTTGCTCTCTCTCTTTTATATTTTTGCCCTGCTAAAGTATATTTAATCAGAGATGAATGTCATTAGGCAGGCAAATCCTAGTTCCTAAGCTATGTCTGTCAGGACTGAGGCAGAATTTATTCTCAAGCCATACTTATCTACAGGACAATGTGTCTTAGTCACCAGTTCAACCTTGTATGTTGACTTCAGACATAGAAGCTGGACAATGTGGATAAAACTATATGGTGTAAATATATCTTTTTTTTCCAAACTTAAGTTCTGAGGTTAAGTCTCTGCTTTCTACCTTAGCTTCTTTCTGGCTACCCTTTCAAATATTCCAGGTTTCCTAGTGATTACTTGGCCCATATTATGGGGAAGGTGAGTATTTTAAAATACAATTATGGACGCTCAAAAGACTTGAATAACATTGCATAGATCATTAGATTATCTTTGTGTTCGAACACTTTAACTGGAAAGCTGAAGGTTTAAATCAACTTAATGTTATTTTAAGGAATTTAGTTAAAAACAGGTTGACCGAGGGATCATTTTATTCAATATGTGGTCCTAAGAAAGCCGTTGGTCTTCACTGCAAGAAATTTCAAGCGCTAACAAGTGGCACTTGTATGTCAAAAACTAAGCATATCTTTTTGAACAAAACAGAATTATATTCTCTCTTACATTGCATTTCTGAAAAACATAAAATGCTTCTGTTTCAGAGAGAAATGTGACTTCTAACACAGAAAAAATAGTGAAATTTCTGTTTACTCGTGTTAATGGACTTTTCCTGAGGAGATTCATAGGAACGCCTTTGATTCCAAATAGAGAACACCAATAGACCAAACATCGGTTCCCATCCAAATCAAGCTTTGACTAACCAATGAGTTTATTGGGGTTGCTTATGAGAACACAGGTATGGGTTACTTTCTGGAATGTGAGTGACTCATGGGCAGCTTCCTGTCACTAAAAAGCTTCACTCCCCTCCCCAGTCATGGATGACACAGGAAAGTTTCATCATGGAGTTTAAGTCTCCATGGGTGATGGGTGATTAGGCACAAAAGCTGTATAACCAGTTCCTCCTGCAACTTGCATTTGCTACAGTTACAGAGACCATGGAGGAGATGTCTCCTCCCCAGCAGCTGTTTGACAATCACAGAGCCTGGGGAGGAGCCTTATGCATCATATTCTTGTGAATTTTCTGAGCCTTGTTGAGTATCCACCCTCCCTCTGTTAGGAAGGTTTCCACTCAGAGGAAACAACAAATCATTTTTATATGTTTACAAAGTTAAGCTTATTTTTGAGAAGAATAGAAATGAAGCAGTCTTATAGAACTCAGACAGCACAACAGTTCTAAAGTTTGTTCCAAAGGTATACATACCTGTGTTCTGTGATTACTATGTGAAATAGACTGATAATAAGTTCAGTACATACTTATAAACTATGGGCCTTCAAGGAACACAGTGGTAAAATGGATTGAATCACAACACAATTGGTGCTAAAATTTTAATTTAAAAATCAAAGGGAAAAGCTCATTGAGAAACCTGTATCTACGTATCTATCTATCTATCTATCTATCTATCTATCTATCTATCTATCTATCTATCTATCTATCCATCTATCTATCTAATCTACTTATCTATCTATCTATCTATCTATCTATCTATCTATCTATCTATCTATCTATCTATCTATCTATCTATCTATCCATCTATCTATCTAATCTACTTATCTATCTATCTATCTATCTATCTATCTATCTATCTATCTATCTATCTATCCTAAGCTTAGGATTAGGTGTGGTACTCAGGCAGTGATCTGTGCTTTGAGTGGTCCAGATAAGGTAGGGCTCAGAAGTAGGGGCTGTCACACAGATGGGGTGAGGGACAGGGGATCTGAGAAAGTCTGAAGCAAGGATCAGTTGTGTGTTAGCAGGTAGAGTAATTTTATTCATCTTCGGGCTGTGAAGGAGTAGATATTTATCCAACGAATAAAAATATTTAATTTTAAGAAGTGACATTTGAATGTGTCAGTTTGCTTAGGACTTTTAAAATGTCTTTTAATGGTCTCATAAGTTATTTGGAATTTTTGTTGTCTTCAGTATGCTAGGCCTGAGAAATACTATGAGGTTTGGTTAGTGTCCTCTGGTGGTTAAAATGGTAATTACATACAATGACTTGTATTTCAGGAGCTTCTCATAAGCCAGAGGCTCCACAGAAAGAGCCTTTATCAGTCTCTGCTTTGAAATAAAACCTACCATATGCAAACAGCAAAGTTCTGCACCACAAGAAAAATGTTGGCACCAAACAGCAGAAACATTGACATTAGATGACCCCCCAAGCCCAGTTATTTCTGGTTCCAGACAATGAAGTGTGTGTGTGTGTGTGTGTGTGTGTGTGTGTGTGTGTGTGTGTGTGTGTGTGTGTGTGTTCAGGTGCAGCTACTGGCTAGTGACCTCCTAGGATCCACCTATCTACATCACCCCAGTGCTGGGCTTACAGATGAGTTCCACTACACATCTATTGTGGGGGGTGCTGGGGATCCAAACTCAGGCTCTCACACTTCTATTACAAGTACTTTACCCACTGAGCCATCCCATTACCTCCTGGATGTTGGAATTTTATCACCACTATCAACATTACCTCTTAGACTCTTTGAATCCCAAGATATCAGTTCAAAGGCTAGACTAGGATGCATATAAGTGGTCTTATCAAGGTCCAAATCAGCATCAAATCTGGGTCAGCATTTGGACTTTGGAGCGTATTTAGTAGTGAAGCAGGGACTCCACATTTACCAAGACATGTGGTGCAGAATTCAAGGGATCTGCTGTTGTACCCTTACCCAGCAAGTATCTACCACATGTCTCAATATCATGGCATCATATTTAAGCACAAGGCATCTCCATTTCACTGGTACAGAAGAACATTTTACACCATTAAGGTCCTTACTGTGGTTATCTAAAAGCAATTCTATTGTAGTTTTCCCAGAAATCTAAAAAGGAAATTCGACAGTTCTCTGTCTCTTGCCATCTCAAGTCAGGCCAAGTACAGCTTTCCTTGCCACAGATCTCAGTTCCCTTCTATCCCTCACAGCCAGGTTAATCACTGCACCAACTCACCATGCATTTTGTCTGGTATTTGTTTGCATCACCTTAGCTTTCATGTAATGTGACATCAATTCATTTCAACCTCCGTTTCCTCTTTTGTAAAATGGGAATTACAGATTGTTCCATGATTGTTATAATAAAACAATTAAAGCATCTGAGTGTAGTGCCTGAGACTGGCAAGCTTTCCAAAGTGATTATAAATATTATTTCACATCTGTTTTTCACCATGTATCACATATCTTTTAAAATCAATTTTTATGTAAATTAAAACAATCTTATTTTACATACCAATCCCATTCCTTCCACTATCTCCCCATCCGACCCCCTACATCTTACACCTCAGGGAGGGTGAGGTCTCCCGTGGAGAAATCATCAAAGTCTGTCAGAACATTTGGGGCAGGATTTAGGCCCTCCCCTATGTATCTAGGCTGAGAGAGTCTCCCTCCATAGGGAATGGGTTTTGGGAGCCCATTTGTGTATCACATATCTTAGTCATATTTTATTGTAGACATATAGGGTTTGTTGTCCTTGGACACTTCTTGAATCTTTTTGCTTATCCCTGAGTAGAAATCTGTCATGACACTTGATTTTACATATCAGTTCATTTATAAAAATCATTATGACTTTAAAATGAATGTGCTTTGAAAATATAACTAAACAGTAACAGCATCCCTTCTCCTGGAAGTAATCACTAATGGAAAATTAAATCTCTCCACAGGCTTTTGGATTACGTTAAAGAAGAGGTAGTGTAAGTTTCTATCTTATCATGAAACTGTTATCCGAAGGACAATTAAGACTCTGTGTTGTCCAGCCAGTGCGTCTTACATCAGGGCTGCTCATATTTTTCATCCTAAAGTCCATCTCATCTTTAAAACCTGCTCGACTTCCAGTTTACCAAAGGAAACCTTTTATAGCTGCTTGGAATGCTCCAACAGATCTGTGTTTGATAAAATACAATTTAACAATGAATCTGAAAATCTTTCAGATGATTGGAAGCCCTCGGCTCAAAGATGGGGAGCAAAATGTTACTATCTTTTATGCCAACAAATTGGGATATTACCCATTGTATACATCAGAAGGGGTCCCCATCAATGGGGGGCTTCCCCAAAACACAAGCTTACAAGTACATCTGGAAAAGGCTGCCCAAGATATTAGTTATTACATCCCTAGCAAAAATTTCAGCGGACTTGCAGTTATAGACTGGGAATATTGGCGCCCACAGTGGGCCCGGAACTGGGACACAAAGGATATCTACAGACAAAAGTCAAGAACACTCATTTCTAATATGGAAAAGAACATATCAGCTGTGGATGTTGAATATCTAGCCAGAGCAACTTTTGAGAAAAGTGCAAGAGCTTTCATGGAGGAAACTATCAAACTGGGAATCAGGAGCCGACCCAAGGGCCTTTGGGGTTATTATTTATATCCTGATTGCCACAATTATAATTTTTATCCTACAAACTATACTGGGTCATGCCCCAAAGAGGAAGTTCTGAGGAACGACGAACTCTCTTGGCTATGGAACAGCAGTACTGCTCTGTATCCTGCTGTTAGTATCAGGAAATCCTTTAAAGACAGCGAGCATACTTTGCACTTCTCACAATATAGGGTGTATGAATCATTGAGGATTTCTACCATGACAACACATGATTATGCTCTGCCTGTATTCATCTACACACGGCTGGGCTACAGAGAGAAACCTTTACTCTTCCTTTCTAAGGTAAGACTCGCCTTGTCCCATGGTGGAGGATTTCGATGCATTGCTAAAAGAAACATTTCCTTGTTAATTATGCTCTTTGAGGAATACCTGATTAGCAGAAAGATGGCTTCTTATTCTTCCTAGAGTACTGGTCTGCTTAGATTCTTCCTTTATGGAAACTAGATTTCGTTATCTTGTTTGTTAACATGGTTTTTAAAGGACACAGAAAGGTGGAAAAGAGCTAATATATGAGGCTAGCAGCTACTGAATTCCCAATGACTGGCTGTTGTGGGAGATTATTAAAACAATTTGTGGTGAGCACATTAAGAAATTAGAGGGCACATTTTGAAAGTAGAATGAAAGACATTCCTGCTTCTGGCTTCACCATTCCAAATATAACGAGAGGACAATTTGTTTTCTTTTAAATACATAGTACTTGCTTTTATTAAGGAAGCTGTACCCATGCCTGTAATGGTTTAAAATTATAGTTAATTTAAAACAGTTTTAAAAGTGTGAAACAATCATAAATTGGCTAAAAGTATGGAAACCTGTAGATTGAGCCATCTTAGATATAGTTGCCTCTCTGATCACTGCTAATTTCCATTAGCTGGTAGAGTGGTGTGGGCTTATAAATTTAATGTTAACCATGAGTAGTTTTGCAACCCAGGTTAAAGCTCTGAGAGAACTATCTTTGTACCTGATTATTTGCACTCAAGTTATATGTGTTGCCAGAGATCTTACCTGTTTGAGGAGAGTAACCTTTAAACTCAGCCAACTTTCAGCCTGACTTTTCCCTTCTTTTGTTGCTCCAGTCATTTAAACAGAAACTTCCAGGAAAAAGGATGGATTTGGGTATTAACATATACATTTTTCTGCACCAAGAAGACTTGAAACCTGTTTCAGCCATCCCTTTTATGATGCAACAGCATTTTAGCATTTTACTTACCACCAAGGGTTTAAGATATCTTAACAGAGGCATCTCCTTTCACTCCTCAATTATAAGTTCCAGTTGAGCAGACTGTGCTGAAAGACAAAAGATGTTCTGAGTGCTTGACATCCTCAGGTGGATGCTCAGGAAACACTCAGGCCTGGGCTGTACTGTGCATGCTCATTCGAAGAAGAAGAAGCAGTGCACCCGTGGGAGGTATGGAAAATGCTGCACCTTCGTCACTATCCAGAAGGTGAAAGTCTTCACTCTGGGCTGAGACTTACACTACCCACAAAAAGGAGCTGTGAATACAGAATCAAGAATGGCAAGAGATCATTTCTGGGAGGTTTGGGAAAGCTATCTAAATTCTGACAGAATAATTGTGACCGTGGCATTGGAAGTTACAAAACTACGTTTTAACTTCCAATATATATTTTCATATTTAGCTTAGTAGTGTTGATTAATTTATTTTTGAAAATTAAATCCTAAAATTTAAAGGCACAATGTTCATCTGGAAAGGCAGCTTAGAGTGTTGGTACATTCTGCACACTGCACATGGCTTAGTAACCTTTTTTAAATAGCAATAACTCAGAAATGCTATCCTCCCCCCTCAGGAAAAGTGGCACCAGCATTTGGGGCTCATCTCATTCTGAAAGGGCAGCTTCTCTTTGAGTTTTAAAAACATCAGCATACACACCACTGCACTCAATATACCATAAAATATCTACTCACAATTGAAAAAAATGTGATGTTCATTTCTTCTAAATGTAGAACAACCATGAGGGGCTTCCATTTCTTTCTCCAATATGTTTGCAGTTTGGAATGCATGCATGCGTACAGTTAGGGCAGGTAGCAAACCTCTTACCCTCCCCAGAACCCAGTGTCTCAGTTCTTAATACAAAAACAGAATGGGGGGACACTATCACCTACTCCACTGACCTAACAGAAGTATGATAAAAATCAAATGAGAAAAGGTGAGTGAAAATTTGAGTCACTTCAGAAATACAGGTGGAAGAGCTGTCATTTAAAAACAAGTATCAAAGCCTTGCACTTAACCATGGACTATCAAAGAATTCCCAGGCAGCAGTCATAGCTTTCAGAAATAATACAGAGGCAGTAACATCTCATTCCACTGGGAGGATGGCCTGTACCACTATAATGTAAATTCAATCTAGTTACAATGTGATGTTATGCTCTGTAAAAAATAGTGAAAGATGTTCTGTGACTAAAGATTTAAATGCTTTTCTGTAAGTAATTAATTTCTCTGGCAACATACAAAGTAAGTTCTTTAGTGATAGCTATTCCGTTATGTCTCCCACTTGTAGACTACTTTCTAACATAAATTCTGGTAAGCACCAGGGACCAAAAACCAAGTATGGAGGAAGATTCCTCTAGGTATCCTATCTTATCCTATCCTGTCCTGTCCTGTCCTGTCCTGTCCTGTCCTGTCCTGTCCTGTCCTATCCTATCCTATCCTATCCTTTCTTCCCTGCCCCCTTACATATATATAACATACTTTGATTATATACGACTTCCACTTTGCCCCTCAACTCTTCTCAATTGTCCCCTCCATACAAATCCCTCCCATTTCAAGTCCTCTTCTTTAGAATAACACGCTTAGTCCAGTTAGTGTTACCTGCTTGTACATAGGTATGAGGCCATCCACTGGAGCATGAGCAACTTACTAGTGGCCACGCTTTCAAAGGAAAATGATTCCCTGTCTATTTAATAACCACCATCTGCCAATAGCTCCTAAGCCAGGAGTGGAACCACATGAGCTCCCCGCCCCCAACCAGACTAGAATTTTAACTAGCTTGATCTTTTGCAGGAAACCATAGCTGCTGTAAGTTCATAAACACAATGGACACAACATGTAGAGGGGGGAGCATTTCAACACATTCCTTCTCACTTACCAGCTCTTGCATTCTTTCTGTTCCCAGTACCTTGATGGTACCTTAATCTTAAAACTGTAGAAGGTGTGGAGGGTTGGCATAATGTCCCAGTTAGGGCTGAGCACTCACAGACTCTTATTCTCCACACTTTAAACAGTTATACGTTTGTTTGAATCACTGTTCACTGCAAAATATAAGCTTCTCTGACCACGTTAAGGATAGCACATGTATATGGATATAATAAACACAAGTGGTTGAAGGCAGTTTGACAATGTGACCACTTAGCACAATTGCAGAGGTAGGTTTCTGTCTAGGGCCCATGACCTTTCCATCAGCAGGCCTTTGATCATGCTTAAATTACCAGACCTGAATTCCCTCTCGTTGTGTGGGCTACACATCCAACCAAGCACAAGGTAGTTGATTGCCCCTCTAACAGCTGTGTCCTTATTATCCCAGTGGGCACAACTTGCCAGGGTGGTCAGTATGATAGCAGTATTACTCAGTACTGTGATGGGTAAGATCACTGATGTCTTTTCTTCCCCTGTAGCCTGCATGCCATCTTGGAACTATGAAAGTTAGTGGATGGAGGAAGTTTTCTGGTTAATTCCACATCCCTTCCTTCCTTCCTTCCTTCCTTCCTTCCTTCCTTCCTTCCTTC